AAAAAAAAAAAAAAAAAAAGCACAGTAGAAGGCTTTTTAATTGTGTTGTAGCCGAAACGGAACTTGTGTCTGTTTTCCCCTTGGGAAAAAATGGAATATATATATATATATATATTAGGGGGAAACAATAAGAAATAGCAGGATAAATAAATACAAAATCATTCACATAAGAATAATTTACAGCTCTCATCTCCTCTAACTCATTTCCTAACTGTCTCAAAATTATTAGTTCAAAATGACCTGCAATAAAAAGATTCTTTTGAAATAAACTCTGGTTTTAGAAGAGTTTAGCAGCAAAACTTGTAAAAGCATTGGCACGAGAAGTAGCTGAATCATAAACACTGGCAGATCTGGCAAACCAGCCACATTTATCAAGCACATACATATATAGTTGAACTGGTGCCAGGGGAATCAGGGGAGGGATGTGAACTCACACACCATTACACAAAGAAAACTCTGCACAACAACATTCGCACACCCTCTCGCACACAGCATACATTTCCAAACATACACTGCAGTCAGACCCAACACATACCCATTCACAACATTTGCTCACACACACACAGGGATCATTAGCAAAAAGACAATGACCAACGAAATAGAAAGCATCACTGCTATCAGCCCTTAGTCCCAAAGTATCACCCTGCTGAATGCTCAGACATTTAGGGTGCAGTAGATCAGTGTACACCAACAAATGATCATTTGTTCTTTTATACAAAACAAAGTGCTGAACCGAGTCAGAAAGAGCACCTCCAGTGAAATTTGGAGGTGTTTGTGTCATCTGACACAGTTACCAAAGTCTAAAGTCATTTTTGATGATGCAAAGAGTCTTATCATATTAAAAATGAAAATTACTTTCGATATGAATACATATCTAAAGTTCCTGTAATAAACATTTTGCTATCTTAAAGCCTGCTGCCAACCTGTCCAAGATGGAAAGAGAAAGAAAGGCTTCCATCCATGGCAGGTATTCTGTATTCACAGAGACTTTCAGCATCACAGAATGCCAGAAAAACTCCCCAATGGTCCTACTCTAGAGGGGGGTCTGTAACTAGAAGCCTTAATGTTTGATCGGAGAAACTTGCGTCACCTCTTTCCTACACATTGCCCCTGGCAAGGATTTCCACAAGAGCTTTTCATGTCTTTGTTCCTCAGAAATTATGCTGTGTAGGCATTGGTAAACCAATCAGCATGGAAAAACTGTATGTAAAGATTCTGAATGGTGTACCTCTAAAATCCTTAGAGAAATCCATGTATGCAGTATCCCCAAGGCCTGGTGTTCTTAGAAATGAGAAAAAAAAAATACAATAACCTTCGTATTGACCTCCATGTGGCTTGTCCTTGCAGGTGTGCGATAGTCCCTGTAAATTCTTTTGTTTTCAGCTTTGATTTGTCAGTGTCTGTGAATATTTTTGGATTAGCCCCATTTTATAGCACAAATACCAGGAATCCAATGCCAGAGGCGGTAACCTGGACAAAGAAAGAGTCATTTGAGTAGCATGGTGTCCTCAGTTCACCGGGCAGCACAAAAAGCCCTTCGCTTACATCGCAACAGCACTGTTATTGTGCTTCTTTTCATCTTTTTCTGAAGTCTGTGTTCTGAATAGCCGTATGTTTGTTGTCTGATGAGATGATCCACTTCAGGAGTTTCAGAAGAATGTGCCTTTGGTGTTCTTGTAGAGAATCTTTTTGAAGGCTCTGCGGAAGTCTTTGTTGAAGATGGTGTAGATGACTGGGTTGAGGCAGCTGTTGCAGTAGCCGATCCAGAAGAAGAACTTAAAGAGTGGCTCTGGCAGGGTGCACGTCTCTGGGCACACAGCTTGTAGGCTGTATGAGAAGAAGAAAGGGAACCAGCAGATGACAAAGACGCCAATTACCACCGCCAGCACAAAGGTGAAGCGCTTCTCTCGGTTCACCATGGCTTTGCGTCGTGCGGAGTTGGGCGTTCCTTCCTGCTTCGTCTTCCGGGTCACCAATTTGGCACCTTTGGTGGTGGCGATCATGTCTCTGTATTTCTGGATGGTGGCGGGGGAATGGATGCCACTGGGTGTCATGCTCGGGGTACAAGGGACCTCTAACCCCCTCCCACCTTGCTCAGTGTCTGAGTCAGAGCTCATGCTCTCTCCGTTATTGTTGTCAGGCTGTTTCATGTTCTTCTTCGCCTTTTTCCCCTCTTTAGGTTTATTAGGAGCCATTTTGGATGAATTCGAAGGAGACGGGGAGGGGCACGGCGTGGTCAGTGTCAGGATTGTCAAAGGGGGTTGCAGATGTTTGTTGGAGATTGGAGGGCTCGCCGCCTGCTGGATGGACTCCACTTCGGACACGGCCAGAGTCGGAGGCCTGGGTTTTTTCTGCAAGGTAGAGGGCGTTTCATCTCCCCTTCCGTTTTGTAGACCCTCCATGTGGACCTTGTGCTGAGGGGTTGCCACATTGGCTGGGACCTCTTTGTGGGGCTCCCCTGGTGGACATCGTGTGCGCTGCTTGGCGATCTGGTAGATCCGCATGTAGACTAAGATCATAATCAGACAAGGAGCAAAGAAGGAACCGATAGTAGAGTACAGGATGTACCAGCGCTCATTGTTGAGCTCACACTGTGGCAGCCCTCCTGCATCACCTTTGTTCTTGTTCATGGAGAGTAGTGGTGGGAAGGAGATGACTGCTGAGATCAGCCACACCACCAAAATGGCACATTTGATGCGTTTGGGTGTCCTCTGTGCGCCGTACGTGACAGCACGTGAGATAGACATGTAGCGGTCTAGACTGATAGCGCACAGGTGTACTATAGACGAAGTGCAGAACAACACATCCAACGCCAGGTAAATCTCACACCATACGGAGCGGAAATACCAGTAGCCCATCAGTTCATTGGCCAGTGAAAATGGGATGATGAGGGTGGCCACCAAAATGTCTGCAGCCGCAAGGGAGACCAAGAAGAGATTCTGGGGTCCTCTGAGCAAGCGACTGTTTAAAACAGCGATGATGACAAGAATATTGCCAACAATTGTAAAAAGAATCATCAATGTGATGGCTGTTGCAAAGGCTGCTGTGGCTTCTGGAGTGTAAGGAGGGGGTTTTAACATACTCTGGTTACAAATCGGTGAAGACGTGCCTCCAGTGCCATTGATGTTGTGGCCATGCAGACCCATGCCTGCCGAGCACGAGCTTGCCATGACTGCCACAGCGCGGCAACTGAGAATACACGTGGATTAACCTTCTCTATTAGTAATCCAAATGTGGGCAGAATAAATTTAATAATTTCGTTTAGGTGTTTTTTCTTCTTCTAAGAACTTAGTCAAATATATTTTGTTGAAATTAAATAAGCAATTTTACGTATAATCGAATTAATACATCGCTCACTGCGAAAAGATTCTGTCAGCCATTTTTATGTGACATCTCGAGTGTTGATACTTTATTACTTTGCCTCAAATTTGGAATAAGCGTCATCTGGGTTATGGAACAGTTATGGAAACGTGCAACTTAATTTAAAGGACAGCCATCAAATAAATTAAATGTCAGAGAGATTACATCTATTTAATTATAATTCACGGTTCTGATCAATTATAATTTATGGTTCTGTCGCTAAATTATCAACTTCTGAATGTTTTATAGAAGACAGATAACGTGAGAGGAAAAACTAAAACTAAAACAACAAACAAAACGCCCAGTGCAAAAAAAAAAAACAGCAATGCTGTCACAAATAGATTCATTGACAATATGAAATAGCTGCGTAATATTGTGCTTCCATTAATGATTTGAGTAACAATTATTCAATTATAACCTTTTAAACATTCTAAAGTTCAAATTGCGAATAAAAACGTTATAGATTCTCGCCAAGTGCTTACGAAACAAATATATTGGAATGCTTAAATCTAGGCTACCCAGATGCACAACCCTCCACGGAGCGCAAGGCTTTAAATATAAATCTCCAGAGAGCACGCAGCAGCGCGCGGCGGTGTGCCAGTTTCCCCCTCACAGTTTTCACAAGTTTGCAAAAAGAATTTAAGCGCAACAACTACCCGGATAAATGATGGAGTCTGTTGTAGTTGTGCCGTTGTTACATTCCTGAGTGGAGAAAGTCGGCTTAATAAGGAATCAGAGGCACGCCAAAATGAGTCGGGTATGTCCAAGCACCAAAAAGAAGGATAATGTCTGAAAACAGTTTGCCGTCCTTCTCCCGCCGTGTTTCTCCCGTTTTAGTCACAGTATCTCAGTCAAAGAGTTGAATGCCTCCTCCGTGCCTCGCGTATTACCTCAGTGACAGTTTGAAGTGTCGGTGCGGCTCGCGCGCGCCGCTCTGGCTTCATCTCTACGCAACGCTTCTCCTCAGTACCCCAGTATAAGTGATGTCAGGACGGGCGTCGTGAGGCGAACTCTTCCCTCCCACTTAAAAGCCTGACCTATCCTAACACTCTCTTGTCAAACAGTGGATGCAATTGCAATTCAAATAACACATTTTGGAGAATTCAAGAACTCCAACAACTTATCCAAAATGGATAAAGGTAATGGTTTTGATTAATGATATTTACATAACGAAGAGTGCAGGATTCATTTTACTATATGTTCGATTGAGAAGTTTACATTAGGCTATACATATGACCACCAAGCACCAAGTATGACAAATGAAAGGTTGTTTTTTTTCAGTTAAAGGCGCGTAACTGTTCAGAACTGCAGAACAAAATTCTGCAAAATTCAAAATTCTGCCCCCCCCAAAAAAAAAAAGTAGGCCTACATATAATGTAAAAGCAACAGAAATCTGTTTGAAACGTTTAAAACTTTAATGACAGACTGCGCTCGTAAAAGGAGTCGTGACGACCGAGCGCTTCCTCCGCACGCTTCATTTCATAAAGATCAAGTGTTTTAATGCTCTCTTCAGATGAAGTGCAACATATACCCAAACGCAATTTAGACCCTCATCAAGCGTTTCCATTAGGATCAGTGAATTTATATTTCCTGAATCACCTGTATTACCGTTGTGATTTTAGCAAAGAACACAGGACGTTGTGTCAAAAGGGTCGAATGAGTCGAACCATTTCCAGTATGCAAAAATATATTTTAAATATTTGCACGAAGCAGTCTTTCGTACAGAGAGCTCTTCTGTGGAGTACTAGGTTTTATAGAAATGTTTGAGTATTTTTGATAGATAGATAGATAGATAGATAGATAGATAGATAGATAGACGTTCATTTATAAACCTGAAGTGAGGTCTGCCCCCTTATGGACAAAACAGAATATTTAACCATAATTTTGAAAGGTGATTAACCTAGTTCTTTCTTCATTGATCCAGCATTCATTTAAGCATCAATGTATTTGGATCAATCTTTTATTTATACAAAAGTCCTTCAAGTTTTTGTTGTTGCAGGATGACATTCACTCATGCGTCAATTTTTCAGCTGCGTCAAGGTCAGAATACAACACGATCTTGTGACTCATTCACTGGGTTGTGTTTCTTTTGAAGCATTCTGCATGATCCAAAACTGTGTTAAGCTTTTTCAGCTGCGTCAAGGTCAGAATACAACACGATCTTGTGACTCATTCACTGGGTTGTTTCTTTTGAAGCATTCTGCATGATCCAAAACTGTGTTAAGGCTACTCTTATAGACCTTAGTGAGTGTAGCGCCATATTTAATTTTTGACAAGAATGAAAATTAGGCTATGCGGGATAGTATAGTGCGTTCAATGAGTTATACTGTTGTTTAACCACATAACAAATTGTTCAGCTGACAAAAGTCTTTACGAAAAAAAAATCAGTTGACAAAAACTCCATAAAACTGCATGCGCAACTATAAAGACTGCTCTCTCACAACCTCGTTTTCTTCCGTTTTTAAATTCAGCATGGAGTATAACCTGATTAAGGCATATTGACTAAAATGCGTGACTAATTTTTAATGGTGTTAAAATTTCCACTGCCTGTCATAATTGTTTTTTTTCCCATTAATGTCTGTATGCCTTTTAAGATCATGGCATTCCTGAGAATGAAGTTCTCTTTGGAAACTGCATTTACTGTACTTTTTTCCCCAATAGCTTTCAAGAGGGTCATGATGTTCCTTCAGGAGAGAAGTCATTTTCTTCTTAGTGATAGAGTGATATATGAGATAGGCTGTTTAATTTGCCAACCTTTGTGTACAAAAATTGCATTTAATTGTATTGAATGTATAATTGCAGTGTACTTCAAATCTTAGAAGTGTATTAAAACAACTTGCATATACTTGCATATAACTATACTTGCATATAATATAATATTAATGAAATAAAACCTGCAGAGAGAGTACTTAGTGTCTTCATGTTTTTAATACACAAGTACACTTTAAAAAAGTTTGTAATAATGTCAAATTAAAAGTTTTACTCTAAAGTGCATTTTAAATCATTATATTTAAAAAATAATAATAATTTCCATGCTTTCAAGAAGTACACTTATTTTGATGTGTTGACTCACACATTCAAGTTTAGTTTACCATAAATGCTTGTCAGTTCATACGGCAATACACTTCATTGATATTTCATATCAAAGGCAACAGAAGTAATTATGATGTTAAATATAAATATCTAATTAAGTACTATTATGCCAGACAAGCTAAATACATTTATATAAATTTAAACTATAATCCATTTTCATTTAATTGCAAATAACATGCAATCAAGTGTCTGAAAATATATATATATAATTTGAACTGTATTGCATTATTATTTAAATATATTATTTCCTTTCTTAAAAGTATGCTAAATGTACTTCTCTTTCACAAGGGGATATTTGGTCATTTTGATATTATTGGCATCTGAAAAAAAATTGTTTAATTGATCCGTTTACCTATTAGCCTATGACTTGGATATGCAATATATTACAGACCAATTATGTCAGAAAGTTTTGTAAGTTTTTAAAAAAAAAAAAGAGTAGGAGGGAGATTATGAATGTTTCACTGTTCTAATTCTGCGGTTTCTAATGGCAATGAAAGCAATAGCTGCATACCGATCAGCATTTAAGGACAGTTATTTGAAGCAAACTTGATTCCCAAAAAAAAGTAAACCCACTGTGGCTGTATCATGTTCCTGCTGTTATGAGCAAACTGATGGCGTGAGAGTTCACAAACAGAATTAACCCTAGGCAACATTCAGATTTTCCAAATTCACTTAGCTGACAAAGTGCACTGGAGCCGACAAGACTGCCAATATTCCCCATAGCCTGTCGTAAGCATTATTTGAATTACCTGTTTATGTATTCAAAGTAAAAAAAAAAAGCTTTTTTTTTGCTGCGGTTGGAAAAATAGTGTCAAATGAAAAGTTTGAATATGAGACAGTTACTCTGTAGGAGCTTTAACAGCCTAAATATTTACTGGGTAAAATGTAATTCAGAAATATTGAGAGGCCCTCAATCGAACTGAAAATAAATAAATAAATGAAACAGTTAAGGCTGGATCCAATTTAAAGCTGCCTGAGTAAGCAAATAAGTTCAAATGTTTGCCAGACAGCTTCACACCAGAGCTGTTCATTTCAGATGATGTTCTGAGTTTTGAGGGAGATGTGAGAGAGTTAATGCATGACCATATCAGCGCTGTCATCACAAGATCTGCGTCACATGGGCAACCACAATCTGTTTCACCCTAAGTGTTTAGAACTTCCATCAAAGTTTGGCAGAAAGCTAAACAAATAAGTGTTTTCCATGTCCACGCTCACAATGAAAGAGTTGTAGATGCTGATGGCTGTAGGCAGCAATGACCTTCTGTAACACAATCACCCCACATGCTCCTTGATTTTTGATCTCTGATTTCCTGATGAATTCCACACAACGCTCCAAAGTTATAAAACTACAAAAAAAAAATTATTTCTTGCTTTACTTCTTCATTGGTATTTGCTCACCTTCAACGCATTCAGCTATCACAGAGATATTTGGGAATAAAATTACAATATCATCATCAACAACATCATCATCATAAATCGTGTTCGTTAGAGACCTGGGGCAAGTTCAAGCTCAAACCGGTGTGCACCGTTTCGGAGGTAAGAAGTGGATTATCCTTCACCTGAAATGTTTGTCTTTTCATCCTGAAATGCGAGGCAAATGTTGGATCACAATAATTATGAACCACAATTTCCACAAATCCCTTCACTCGATTGGGATGTTCTCTTTTATTCTGGAGGGCAAGGGCAATGACTGTAACATCGAGCGTATTTTGCAGTATTAAACACGTATTTATACCGATTTCATCAGGCTCCGAAAATTCTTCAAAAAGAACACAAAGAATGGCCTTCTCAGCTGCCATAGTTGCAACTCTTGCGTC